GACTGAGAAAGGAAGCAGATGAACAAGGAGGGTTTTGGAAAGGTAGGGGGTGTGTGGGCCAGGGTTTACAGTGAAACAATAAATGAACAATATTTAGATAAGGCTAAAGAGGGCTTTTGGCATTTATGGATTTTGGGAAAAGGGTATGACAGGGGGGGAAGGGGGGCAAAGTGGAGATTTTTAGGTGTAGGGGTAGGAGGTAGGTTACTGAAAGCAGTGAAAAGTTTTTACGAGGATGTGAGGCTCAGTTAAGTCATAGGAAAAAGGGGAAAATTTTTCCAGTAAAAGTAGGCCTTAGACAAGGATGTGGATTCACCGTGGTTGTTTAATATATTTATAGAGGGGGTTTTAAAAGAAAAATGCGAGGGTCTTGACAAGAGGCGTGAGTTAAAAAATAAAGAACACACATAAAGTGGGGTTTTTCACATTGTCTTTGCTGAGACACGTGCTCTTGGGGATTTGAAGAGAAATTGCAGAGATTGGTGGGTGAATTTGGTAGGGTGTGCAAAAGAAGAAAATTAAAAGTGAATACAGGAAAGAGTAAGGTTATGAGGATAACAAAAATATTAGGTGATGAAAGATTGGATATCAGATTGGAGGGAGAGAGTATGGAGGAGGTGAATGTATTCAGATATTTGGGAGTGGACGTGTCAGCGGATGGGTCTATGAAGGATGAGGTGAATCATAGAATTGATGAGGGGAAAAGGGTGAGTGGTGCACTTAGGAGTCTGTGGAGACAAAGAACTTTGTCCTTGGAGGCAAAGAGGGAATGTATGAGAGTATAGTTTTACCAACACTCTTATATGGGTGTGAAGCATGGGTGATGAATGTTGCAGCGAGGAGAAGGCTGGAGGCAGTGGAGATGTCATGTCTGAGGGCAATGTGTGGTTGAATATAATGCAGAGAATTCGTAGTTTGGAAGTTAGGAGGAGGTGCGGGATTACCAAAACTGTTGTCCAGAGGGCTGAGGAAGGGTTGTTGAGGTGGTTCGGACATGTAGAGAGAATGGAGCGAAACAGAATGACTTCAAGAGTGTATCAGTCTGTAGTGGAAGGAAGGCGGGGTAGGGGTCGGCCTAGGAAAGGTTGGAGGGAGGGGGTAAAGGAGGTTTTGTGTGCGAGGGGCTTGGACTTCCAGCAGGCGTGCGTGAGCGTGTTTGATAGGAGTGAATGGAGACGAATGGTTTTTAATACTTGACGTGCTGTTGGAGTGTGAGCAAAGTAACATTTATGAAGGGGTTCAGGGAAACCGGCAGGCCGGACTTGAGTCCTGGAGATGGGAAGTACAGTGCCTGCTCTCTGAAGGAGGGGTGTTAATGTTGGAGTTTAAAAACTGTAGTGTAAAGCACCCTTCTGGCAAGACAGTGATGGAGTGAATGATGGTGAAAGTTTTTCTTTTTCGGGCCACCCTGCCTTGGTGGGAAGCGGCCAGTGTGATAATAAAATAATATAATGCAAAATAGAATAAATACATGGAACATTGACACTTGCTGAGGACTGATGGATTACTGATTATAAACTTGTCACCTACAAGTATTCAGAACAACAGATGTTTATAAATTCAGTTGCTGGGGATAAGGAAATTCATTGGTCAAATTAAATGTTTTTCTACTGCATTAAAAATAAAATAACTCTGTTAGTGGCCTTCTTACATGTCACAGGAAAGATTTCATAATGTGCCTCTTTTTTAGTAGCAGTGTGTTTATTGCTTCTAGATATTTTGATCTACTGTGGTTAAAATAAGATCATCTGTGGAGCTAGATCCACCAGGATCTCAGGTCTCCTTGAACTGTATTCCCAAATAAAATGGCATCCTCACAGTGATAGTGTTTTAAATGTGGTGATTTAGATTTTGATTTCACAGGTTGGGGTTTGTAGAAGAGAGTGAGATTATTTTTCAGTAAAAGTAGGTCTTAGACAGGGATGTGTGATGTCACTATAGTTGTTTAACATATTTATAGTTGGGGTGGTGAAAGAAATGAATGATAAGGAGTTAGGAAGAGGTGTGGTATTGATAATTGTGAATCTGGTGTGAAGTGGTAGTTGTCATATTTGCTTTTTGCAGATAAGATTTGTTCATATTTTTAACCATAAGGGTTAGCCACCCAGGATAACCCAATGAAGTAAGAGCATTGTCAGGAACTGTGTTTTATTTTCACTTGGGGTTCTTTAAAACCTGTTTTATTTTCACTTGGGGTTCTTTAAAACCCTTTGACTGTCGCAGGCCCCTTTCTAAAACTGTCACTCTATGTCACAAAATTTTTGGGAAAAAAAAACAATTATTTTTTCTTATGAAATGATAGAGAATCTTTTCCTAATGGTAATGACACCAAAAGTTCATAATTTGGTCGAAAACTCACGGAATTATGCTACCGCGAAGTTAGCAGTCTCGGCGACATATACGTATCAGTGATTTCGCCGACTTTGAGCCCTGTTTTTAGCCAATTCTGTTGTTCCAGTTGACCAAACTCATAGCTATTTCTTTAGAACTCCATTTTATCTATCAGTTGAGTACAAGAAACCGCCCATTTACCAATTTGAACTACCCAATAAAGTGGTCAGAAATTGGCAATTTGGCCAATTTCATGCAAATCAAAAAAGATGCCAATTTCAAAATAGGGTCCAGAATAAACAAGGTAGACATTCTTGGCACTAAAATAACATATCCTCTGTTCATTAGTCACATCTCTAGGCCCCTCTTATATTACTATTGCTTTCTATTTTGATTTTTTATTCATACAAAAAAATACAAAATTTACTGGTATGCAGACTACTGCATTATTTTAAAAATGGTATAAATAATATCAGTGCACTAGTGAAAGAATATTAGACTCCCCAGTTGACGTGTATTGGACGTGTGGTGTGATTTGCTTACTCTTGAACATTGGTAAAAATCGAACATTTCCGCTATTTTGAGCTTAGTTTCAAGGTCGTTTTCATTGTGAAAGTAATGAAAATCATCTCTATTTCTGTAATATGTTTTCCATTTTATCACCTAAGACCATGAAAACGAGAATACAACGATAAATACTATACGAAAATACACCTCAAAGTCGGCGTTTTAATCCAAAAAAACGATCAGAGTTTTTTTTTTCTCATTACGCACTGTGTGCTGCAGGATTTTTTTTATGTGGTGCACACTGACCACACAGACCCATTCTCTCACATGTGGGCCTACCAGGTTTCTCCTGCTTGATTTGAAGCCGCTAGAATTCATGAGTATATATACATCAGAAACAGTGGCGCGTAAGACGTATTTATACGGCGTAAACAGTCAAAGGCTTAATTTTGTTCCCCCCAGGATGCAACCCAGAACAGTCAGCTAATACCCAGGTACCTACTTACTGCCAGGTCAAGAGAGACAGTAGTTGTAGGGAAACATGCCCAATGGGGATTAAACCATGGACACTCATTCAGTATGTGAAGCAAGTGTGTTGCCAATCAAGGCATAGTTCTTTTGCAAGATTAGAAAGCGAGGTTGCAAAGATTGATAAACGAATTTGGGAGGATGTGTAAAAGAAGGAACGTAAAAGTAAACATAGAAAATGGCAAGGTGATGAGAATATCAAAGAAATATAGGCATTGAGAAATTAGATGTTAGATTGGAGGGAGAGAGTAAGAGGAAGTAAATATGATCAGATATTTGGGAGTGGACTTATTGGCAGATGAAGTGAACCGTAGAATTGGCGAAGGGAAAATGGTGCATGGCGCAGTGAGGCATCTATGGATATAGAGACCTTTATCCATGGAGGCAAAAAGGGAAATGTACCAGAGTATAGTGCTTTATATACAGTTTATACACAGTGGGAGAAATTGCTTTCTATGTTTTCCTGTCATTTTCCTTTACTCAGGATGGGGCTCAAAGTGTTGAAATTTATCAGCCTGAGCTGGCAGTCTTCATTAGAGGTTTTGAATGTTAGGGGATTGGACATGCAACAGGTTTGTGTTCATGCGTTAGATAGGAGTAAGTGGAGGTGAGTGGTTTTAATGATTTGATGCCCTGTTGGAGTGCGAGCAATGTAACATTTATGAAGGGTTTAAGGGAAACTGGTTAGCCAAACTCAAGTTCTAGAGGTGAGAAGTAAAATGCCTGCACCCTGAAGGAAGGATGGGGATGTAATGTCAGCATCCTTCTGTCAAGGCAGTGATTGAATGAGTGACAGTGAAAGTGCCTTCTTCATCAGGTCACCCTTACCTCAGTGGAGATGGACAGATTATTTATAAAAATTATTAATGGTAGCTTTCATCTATTTTATCTTAATAAATAATAAATGTCACATGGTGAATGACAGTTGATGTAAAAAAAAATTCCCAGTGTTATTTACTTAAATTACTCTCACACATAGAAGATTAACAAAGACATAAACTATTTACTCTGTCGTACAGTCTGTGTACACATTTGCAGTTTTTTTTATTGCAGTTTACACTTGATTAAAAACTAATTCCTTCTAATTTTTCAACTTTTTTTTTCTAGGCATCTGAAGTAGGATTTTTCAATTTTTTAAACATTAATTTAACCTAGTTTTTCAGAATTTTGAGCTTTGGTGTAGAATTCCATTCTGTTCAGTATTATATTCTGTAGCACATTTTCAGCATTGCTTTACAGAAACAGGCAACATGAAATAGGTAGAAGGAAGATTAGAAAGATGGTTGTATTATGATTTTTTTTACACAAATCAATTTTACAGGTTAAGAGCTGTTATCCTACTTCAACTCATTTCATAGCTCAGTTCTATCTATGGTATACATGTACTACCACCCTCCAGGATGTGTCAGATACCTACTTACTACTAGGTGAGCAGGGGCAACAGGTGTAAGGTAACATGCCCAACGTTTCCATGTGTATCGGGGATCAAACCACAGACACTCAGTGTGTGTGAGCTGAGTGCACTTGCTAACTGACCTATGGGACTCTCATATTTCTTAACCAGATAACTTGTACCTCAGTTATGATTGCTCGTTATATTATTCCAAAGTTTGATCCTCCATATGCTAATCAAGAGAAGCAATCAACATTATGCCAATAAAATTTGTGCTTTATTATTTTCAGGTTACATCCCCACTCACTCATAATGTCAGTGGAACTGCCAAAGCATGTGCTCAGACAGTGATAGCAACCTGGTGGTACTCTGAGATGAAAGCATTACTCTGGTGGGCCAGCAATTGGGTAGTCCTTGGAGGATCCTTGGCATATACATATGTCAAGCAACGAGAAATGCGAGCTGTGCACAGTACTGCAAAACCACAGCAGTCTGGTAAAGAGAAAATTTGAAAGTCTGGGTTTAAAAAACTAATAAAAAAAGAGGTTTTGATGCTTTTTGACTTTGTGAATGAGCCACAAGATGAGAGTTGCTGATACTGTGGAAGTAGCTAAGACCTGGTGATGTTTCCTCAGATGTACAAACTATATTTGTAAGACCAGACTAGTTATCCTTTTTCTGCTGTTCTCATGGCTTCAACTAAAAAAAGTCACTTGTGTTCACTACTTTTCACAACTGATTAGATTTCATGGTGTGAAATATGCACATTGTTGCACATTTTAATAACGTCTGGTTTGATGTGATGTGCATGTTGTGTGCACATGTGTGTTAATACATGTGTGTGGGTGGGTGAGTAGTTAAAGAAGGAAAGCTTTTTCCATGGTGTTATGTCTTCCATGATTAATATGTGTGTAAAGGTAGAAAGTTGAAAGTGAACATAGATAAGAGTAAGGTGATGAGGGTATCAAATGATTTAGTTTAAGAAAAATTGGATATCACATTGGAGAGAGGGAGTATGGAAGAAGTGAATGTTTTCAGATACTATTTGGGAGTTGATATGTCAGTGGAAGGGTTTATGAAGGATGAGGTTAACCATAGAATTCAAGTACCTTGAATCTTCACTAATAGCTGTTTCTAAATACAATTAAACAAAACAAAGGCAGCTTCACCATCTCTGAAGTCTTAGCAAGAATCCTCCTGAAAACAGTAAACTCTGCCATCACATAGTCTCTCCTGTTAATACTACACAAGCACATTACAGAGAATGAACATTGAAACAGGCCTTCTCTATCCAGCCTCCAATAGAAATATTTGTCTAACCAATTTTTATGTTTCCCAAGTAATAGCTTTTATATCCTTTACTCATGTGCAAGTTAATTGTTCTAACATATTGTATTACTACTACTACTACCACTAGTATTGCACCTCACTCTGAGCCTATATATACCCTCTGTGTCCATGTACTGTTTGTAATGGCTTGACAGCGAAATGTTGCCACAGTAAAATGTCACATTAGTTGCACTTGTGTCCTTTTAAATTAAAAGATCAAAACACAATTCACAATCACAAGCTTGTAGCAGAGAAATTGGACTGGACATGTATGAAGTACAAATGCTCTGATGGTTCGGTGGTGTCGGGGTGGCTGGGGACGGCGGGAGGTTTCCCCAGCTGAACCACAACAAGGCAGCTGCTTGAGGAAAAGGGAAGTTTTTTTTTTTCTTCCCGCAAACTGACCTGTGTTAAATTCATCATACGACGTGTTACGTAAAATTGTGCCTCAATTCTTCAATCGTGCTATACCCAAATCATGCCAAATAAACTCGTGCTAAATGACAGTCTACTGTATTTACTGTTATTATTGTGATGAATGGTTTGAAAAACCAACAAGTTGAAGATTGAGACACTTATGCAACATATGGGAATCTTTATTCAGAAAACGTTTCGCCACACAGTGGCTTCATCAGTCCAATACAAGGAAGAAAGGCGTAAGCAGAGGAGGAATTTGAGGTAATCAGTCCCTCAGCCTGGAGTCGATGTGTTCAGTCCATCAATCTTGTAGAATGTCATTCTACAAGAATGTCATTCTACAAGAATGTCATTCTACAAGATTGATGGACTGAACACATCGACTCCAGGCTGAGGGACTGATTACCTCAAATTCCTCCTCTGCTTACGCCTTTCTTCTTTGTATTGGACTGATGAAGCCACTGTGTGGCGAAACGTTTCCTGAATAAAGATTCCCATATGTTGCATAAGTGTCTCAATCTTCAACTGTTATTATTACAACTAGTGTATTTTTGTAAGACAGATAGAGCATGAATATGAAAATCAGAGGTGAGAATAGTGAAGTTGGGTTATGCCTGAAGCAGGTTTGTGGGTAGGGTAGAATAATAAATTATAACAACTTGGAAAGATGTGTAGATAAAAGGTGTTTGTTGTGGTAAGGTCACACAAGATAGAGAAGTGTGTTATGGTAGTAAGGTTGTGCCTGATAGAGGAGTATATGTTATGATGGTAAGGTCATGCATGATAGAAGGGTGTATGTTATGGTGGTAAGGTCATACAATAGAGAAGTGTGTTATGGTGGTAATATCATGCGTGATAGAGGAGTGTATGTTGTGATGATAAGGTCATGCATAATAGAGGAGTGTATATTATGGTGGTAAGGTCACACGAGATAAAGAAAGTGTGTTTTGGTGGTAAGGTAACACAAAATAAAGGAATAGTGTACTATGAAGTTAAAGTTAGGTTTTATTAGTGAATGATGGAAGTGCTGAAGAAATCTAGAGTGAATTTGAGAGTAAGAAGAGGAGAGTGCTGAGCAGGTGGACAGTTAAGGTTAGTTTGTGAGAAACAAGGATATGCATTTGAGCAACCATCAGGAGCTATGAAGCAATTTGCCAGGAGGGCATGAGTGACACTGGCAGTTTGACAGTGCACGTAAAACACTGAAGTCTAGAATTACAGAGACACAGCTGTGTAATATATTGCTAGTGTTTGGTACAGTAGTACAGTATTAGTTAATTGTGAAGATAAGGAAAACTGGGTGCCTAAGCATCTTTTTAGCTTATAAATAGCTTGTGGGTGATTCCTTCACTTCATGAAAGTGAGAAAAGGATGTAATGATGACGATGGCCCAGTGTTTTCTCGTAATAATTTAAAGTCGTATGAGGTTCAGAAATGAGATTGACATAAAAGAATGGGTTCCTTTAATAGACTTTACTAAGAAGTGGCCAGTGAAAATATTACTGACTAGAATTTTCTAGCACCACACCTTATAGTTATTGTTATCCATCTGCTGCTTTGTACATATAGTACAGTGGGCCCTCGACCAACAGCTTTAATCCGTTCCAGAGATCTAGCCTTTAGTCGAATTAGCCTTTAGTCGAATTAATTTTCCCCATAAAAAATAATGGAAATCCAATTAATCCATTCCAGACAGCCAAAAGTATTAAAAAATCTACATGAAATATACATTTCCCTACACAGAAAACAATGAGACATGCCCAATACATACATAAATAAATACTAAAATGACACTTACCATTATTGAAAAGTAATGTTGAGTGATGAGACACTGTTTTTCTTGAGCACTCTAGGATTTTCAGAGTGATACATGAGTAGAGGCTTCACTTTGCAATCCCCACTAGCATTACAACAAAACATGAGAGTTAACCTGTCTTTCATAGGCTTGTGTCCTGGGAGTGCCTTTTCCTCCTGAGTAATGTAGGTCCTGTATGGCATTTTCTTCCAGAACAGGCCTGTTTCATCACAATTAAACACTTGTTGGGGTTGGAATTTTTCAGCTTTGCCATGCCTTATCACACTGTGTATGCCACTACGATTCTTAAATCGTGTGATGAATGGTTTGAAAAACCGACAAGTTGAAGAATGAGACACTTATGCAGCATATGGGAATCTTTATTCAGGAAACATTTTGCCACACAGTGGCTTCATCAGTCCAATACAAAGAGGAAGGTGTAAGGAGAGGAGGAGTATGAGGTAATCAGTCCCTCAGCCTGGAGTCGATGTGTTCAGTCCATCAATGTTGTCCATCATCTACAAGATTGCTGGACTGAACACATCGACTCCAGGCTGAGGGACTGATTACCTCATACTCCTCCTCTCCTTACGCCTTCCTCTTTGTATTGGACTGACGAAGCCACTGTGTGGCGAAACGTTTCCTGAATAAAGATTCCCATATGCTGCATAAGTGTCTCATTCTTCAATTCTTAAATCACTCAAACCAACCTTTGCTGGCCTTAAATTCACCAATATGAGCACTAGATCCAGTCATTTTTTCTTGTTCACCTGGGTGTTACTCGACTGGTGTGGGCTGCATCCTGGAGGACAAGATTAAGGACCCCAATGGAAATAAGTTAGACAGTCCTCGATGACGCACTGACTTTCTTGGGTTATCCTGGGTGGCTAACGCTCTGGGGTTAATTGTTTCTCAGTATTCTCGATAAGCCACACCAACAACAGTCTCTTCATATCATTGAGTAGTACAGCTGACCGTGGTGCAGCAGCAGCCTATGGTGGTGCAGCAACAGCTGATGGTAGTGCAGCAGCAGCAGCTGTAGCTGACAGTGGTGCAGCAGCAGCTGACCGTGGTGCAGCAGCAGCTGACCGTGGTACGATAGTATTTCTCACCCTTTTTACCACAGGGTTAGCACTAGAAGCTTTCTTGGAACCCATGGTGGCTTATTTAGCAGTTAAAAGCACTAAAAACACTGGAATTATACAAAATATATTGCAGGTACACATGGAATCAATCGCAACGGCTTGTAAACATTGGCACACTGGCTATACATCGAGTCTTGGAGTGGCTGGGCCCGCTCAGGCCGCATGCCGTTAGATGAGTTTTTCGTCGTTGGTAGAGCCAATATTTTGATGCCAAAAAGCACCGTTAGTCGAATTTGCCGTTAGTCGATGCTGCCTTTGGTTGAGGGTCCACTGTATTCCTTCAATAATCATCAGATATTTAATAAGTCTCTTCAAAATCATTTGCATTCAAATTACATAAAACTAATTGCCATCTCACTTGATCTAGACAGTTTTTCCTTCCTATGTAAACATATAAGTGACTAAACCTACCCTGGTAAATATTTGTACATATCATTCACTACTGTGTACTCTAGATATACACCATCCTCAATACTATTTCTAATACAGACCTAAAACTCCTTTGATAGTTGTAACAAAACACAACATAGCACAAGAAACAGACATCTCTTTGATATCCCATGAATACAGTATTACTTATAAGTAAAATTGCCTTGTAGACACTGCACAGTGCCCAAGCATATCGAGCAGCCTATATGAAGAAACTAAAACTACAAAAATATTCAGTTTCAAAAGATATGTCAAAAAACAAAGCCCAAAATGTAATGCAAGTGCACAGTGTACAGTACATGTGTATGTTTTTCCCTGTCTGAATAAAAATTAAAATCCATTAGTAATAGATGTGGCTAAGTATGCTAGATATGATCTTGTCTGAAGTTATGTCGCACACTGTGTTGTTTCTCAAATCTTATGAAATGTTTAACTTTATATAGTTTTTAAACTTAAAACAATATTTTTATTTTGCTGTAATGGTTTACGATCACTTACAGTTATCACAAATTTGTAATACTGACCGAATATTAGTCTTAGTTTTAACTCTACACCAAATACTGTGCAGGCATAATTATTACTGTATTATTAATTTTAATTAATGCTAATATTATTATGGTGAGTGGTGCGTATATGTGGAGTCAAAAAACGTTATCTATGGAGGCAAAGAAGAGAATGTATGAAAGTATAGTAGTACCAACACTCTTATAATGGGTATGAAGCTTGGGTTGTGAATGCTGCAGCGAGGAGGCGGTTGGAGGCAGTGGAGATGTCCTCTCTAAGGGCAGTGTGTGGTGTAAATATTATGCAGAAAATTCGGAGTGTGGAAATTAGGAGAAGGTGTGGAGTTAATAAAAGTATTAGTCAGAGGGCTGAAGAGGGGTTGTTGAGGTGGTTTGGTCATTTAGAGAGAATGGATCAAAGTAGAATGACATGGAGAGCATTTAAATCTGTAGGAGAAGGAAGGCGGGGTAGGGGTCGTCCTCAAAAAGGTTGGAAGGAAGGGGTAAGAGAGGTTTTGTGGGCGAGGGGCTTGGATTTCCAGCAGGCGTGCATGAGTGTGTTCGATAGGAGTGAATGGAGACGAATGGTATTTGGGACTTGACGATCTGTTGGAGTGTGAGCAGGGTAATATTTAGTGAAGGGATTCAGGGTAACCGGTTATTTTTATATAGCCGGACTCAAGTCCTGGAAATGGGAAGTACAATGCCTGCACTCTAATGGAGGGGTTTTGGGATATTAGCAGTTTGGAGGGATGTGTTGTGTATCTTTATACGTATATGCTTCTAAACTGTTGTGTTCTGAGCACCTCTACAAAAAAGTGATTATGTGTGAGTGAGGTGAAAGTGTTGAATGATGATGAAAGTATTTTCTTTTTGGGGATTTTCTTTCTTTTTGGGTCACCCTGCCTCGGTGGGAGACAGCCGACTTGTTGGAAAAAAAAAAGAAATTATGGTATTATAAAAAAAATTATTGCTAGGCATTAATTCTTCAACAAATAGTTAGCATCCTCTGGGTTTAACAGAATCCCATAAACAATTGCTGTCCTGCCCAGGTACTGATATTGAATTGCAATAATATATTGCTTGGACACTTATCATTTATCATATTTTATTTCAAGGGTTTGTTAGTAAAATTTTAATTTATGCAAGAATTGTAGTTGCACTTTTTTAAATGTATGATTTTTATATATGTATTCATAAGCAGAAATAGTTAGATGCAAAACAGTAATGTCAATCATAGAATATATTGTATAAAGGTTTATTTTATCAAACAGCTAGAGAATACAGAATTCTTTAAGAGCACCAGCAAGGATTCAACTATCGAAAATCCTGCTTCACAAACAGGATTATGGGGATCAAGCAAGACAGAGATGGATGGGTATATTGCATATACAGTTGTCTCTACAAATTCAAAGGCTTTTTATGTGCAGGTTATAATATCCAACAGTTTTACTGATGAGCAACCTATGAACAGATGAATAAGATACATGCATCACCATGGTATCATTACATTGAAAAGTTTTGCCTGTGTGCCAGGCTCCTTCAGTCAAATGCTGAAGTGACTAATATACTGAAGACAGTTGAAGAAGGGGGTATGAGGTGTTCACTCCTTTCAGATGCCTCCAGATATGGTATTAGTCACCTATATATATGATTGAAGAAGCCTGCTGTGCAGAAAAAAAATTCATATATGGAGATACCATACATGTATTTTCACACGTTATTTTCACTTACTCATCAGTAATTTATACCATTAATATAAAAAAGTTTGTGAGTAGTGTCACTAAGCCATGGGTTTCTTAGCAGTACACATATCTATTTTTTGAGGAATAGCACACAACTCCTAAACTGATAACTAATACATAGATTTGTGATGATGAAATTTGGTATTATTCATTGTTTTAAGTTTTGTAGCTTATGTAGGAACACCTGCACCTAGACTGCATGAAAATCATTGATACAATCTGGGTACAGTCATCCCTACATAAGCCACAAAACTAAAAACCACAAATGCAAAATTACATCTGCATCACAAATCAGATATACGTATTGTACAAGCTCAAGCGATAGGAAGGTACTAGTAACCTCATCATAGGAACATAAAGACATTTCTCACTGCCTCATGAAGTGAATATAAGTAGCAGCCAGGGAAATCTCAAATCTTGTTATCTGTTAGTGGTTCTAGAGATTATCTTCTCACATTCTAGTCTCAGATTGAAATTGTTTTAGAATATGATCTCAAAAGCAAATTAGCTGTTTGCAATGGTGAGAAGATGACCATTAATTTTGGTAAGGCAGACAGGATAAATTAATAATATTGGTGATGGATGGGAAGTCCATATTTTACCTAATGCTATTCAGTCTGTCTCCTTCAAGGGGAAGGGTTCCTTAGTGCTAGTGGAGGGGGCTTTATCTGAGGCATTAGAGCTATGTGCCACATTCTTAGATCAAACCTACTAATTGCTTATAAAATGTTATTAAGGTTTATTAATTTTTCTCGATATCCTGTTATTATCATACACATACACAAAAGTGCAATAAAGCTTACCTTGGTCATGCAGAGGAGTCAGGCTCCAGCCTTTCACCAACTTGTTTAAATATTGAAAGCTCAGAGAGGAGATAATAATGATGATATAAAGCAACATCTGATTTAAAAAAAAAAAGGGGGAAATTTTGTTTCTTCCACATAGATTTTTAGTAAACAAACATGCAGACAAGAAAAGCTATCATAGCTGGCCAAAAATGTTGCAGTCCAGGTTTGATGCTGAAGTATCTGATAAAATCTTCACTTGTTATTCAGTAATATCTGTAGTGTGGGTTGAAAGTATAAGAGCAGAATTCATATAAGATACCAACACGACTCACGAAATCGTAATGACACGATTGCAAACAAACCATACCATGGGCGGGGATAGAACCCACGATCACAGAGTCTCAAAACTCCAGACCGTCGCTTTAGCCACTGGACCAGCTAGCCACAATAAGATTCGTCCAACTAGGTATATTTCTACACCATAGGAAGTTTAGCATAGGCACCACTGTGACCACAAATGCAAGTTTTTACAGACGAATCTCCAGCTAGTGTGGCCGTGACGAACTCTAGCTCAAGTCCCCTCAAAGCCGTTAACATGACTTACGACATTGTAATGACATGATTGCAAACAAACCATACCATGGGTGGGGATAGAACCCGCGATCAGAGTCTCAAAACTCCAGGCCGTCACGTTAGGTAGCCACAATAAGATTCGTCCAACTAGGTATATTTCTACACTACTTCTACTTGCATTTGTGGTCACAGTGGTGCCTATGCTAACCTTCCTATGGTGTAGAAATATACCTAGTTGGACGAATCTAATTGTGGCTAGCTGGTCCAGTGGCTAATGCGACGGTCTGGAGTTTTGAGACTCTCTGATCGCAGGTTCTATCCCTGCCTGTGGTATGGTTTGGTTAAGATACCAACACATTTCAGAAAAACACAATTTCAAATTATTTTACCACCGGAACAAGTTATGGCTATTAAAAAACTCAAGACTTCAAGTATTAACCCTCAAAATATTGCTGGTAACAAAAATACATTTTAAGCTAACTTGTTTTGAGTTCTCTGGTTTATAAATTCCACTTGAGTTGTTGAAGAAAATATTTTCCAGTGAGAACATCATCAGTTAAACGAAAAGTGCATTTTTTGTGCATTTGGTAAATACAGTGGACCCCCGGTTAACGATATTTTTTCACTCCAGAAGTATGTTCAGGTGCCAGTACTGAACGAATTTGTTCCCATAAGGAACATTGTGAAGTAGATTAGTCCATTTCAGACCCCCAAACATACACGTACAAATGCACTTACATAATTACACTTACATAATTGGTCGCATTCGGAGGTGATCGTTATGCGGGGGTCCACTGTACAGTGGACCCCCGCATAACGATCACCTCCGAAGGCGACCAATTATGTAAGTGTATTTATGTAAGTGCGTTTGTACGTGTATGTTTGGGGGTCTGAAATGGACTAATCTACTTCACAATATTCCTTATGGGAACAAATTCGGTCAGTACTGGCACCTGAACATACTTCTGGAGTGAAAAAATATCGTTAACCGGGGGTCCACTGTATTTTGTTACACCCAATTTCCTATTTGATGTAAAGGGGCACAGCCCTTCCTTTTTTCATGATGCCTTATTTTTAAATAACTTAAAATGTGGTAAGTTTAAGTACTTAAAATGTGGTCATTTTAATTAAGACCACTTTTAAAGCCTTAGTCTGGCTGTGATATTGAAAAGCAGAGAGAAGAGGACTTCTCTGTAACCTGAGAATTGACTGTTGGAATCATTGTTTGACATACTGTATGTAATTGCTTGGGTACATGTACCATAAAACTTATCTGTTTTTTTAATACACTGTGCATCCAATTAATTCAGTCTTAGGTGTCAAAGTTTATTTGGTAAGCATTCAATAAAAACTTTTATGAATGTTTAGTTGATTTAGTTGTACATTTAGTTATCATTTATATCTCTTAAAGATTAATTTATGGTATCTGCTTGTTAAACTATGTGTACAAATTATTACTCTTCCTAAAGTTTTAAATTTTTTCAGATTTATCACAGAAAAATGAGGAAGAACTCAAGTGTTAAGATGTGGAGATAGTGTCATCATATGTTCAGTCAGAAGTGCAGCTTGTTCACCTGTCAAGTCATTTTTAGTTTTCTTTCTTTCTTTCAACGCACCAGCCGTATCCCACCGAGGCAGGGTGGCCCAAAAAGAAAAACAAAAGTTTCTCTTTTAACTTCAGTAATGTATACAGGAGAAGGGGTTACTAGCCCCTTGCTCTCAGCATTTTAATACTCTATTGAATTTCCTAGTTGTATAACCATTTTCTGGCAGAAACATATTCTTTTAAGGACAATAGAAACTTTTTTTTTTTTTTTTTTTTCAACAAGTCGGCCGTCTCCCACCGAGGCAGGGTGACCCAAAAAAAAGAAAGAAAATCCCCAAAAAAGAAAATACTTTCATCATCATTCAACACTTTCACCACACTCGCACATTATCACTGTTTTTGCAGAGGTGCTCAGAATACAATAGAAACTTACAGAAGTTTATTTTTTACTTAGCCATATTAATTTGGACATTCATTTTAAATATAAAAACTATGCAAGGAACAAGATGTCAAGATTACAAACAAGTATGAACATATCCAGATTCAGTGTTACTGATATGTAGTGAGTTTTTTGGGGGGTAGGTCATAATAGCATTTTAACCTTTTGAAATTTTGGAAAATAGATAATTCCCATATCACTATCACTCATTCCCCCACGCGTCCCTGAAGAGAGTTCCGGGGGTCAACAACCCCGCGGCCTGGTCTGTGACCAGGCCTCATGGTGGATCAGGGCTTGATCAGCCAGGCTGATACTGCTGGCTGCACGCAATCCAACGTACGAGCCACAGCCCGGGTGGTCAGGTACTGACTTTAGGTGCTTGTCCAGTGCCTGCTTGAAGACAGCCAGGGGTCTATTGGTAATCCCCCATATGTATACTGGGAGGCAGTTGAACAGTCTTGGACCCCTGACACTTATTGTGTTGTCTCTTAACGTGCTAGTGACACCCTTGCTTTTCATTGGGGGTATGTTGCATCGTCTGCCGAGTCTTTTGCTTTCGTAGTGAGTGATTTTCGTGTGCAAGTTCGGTACTAGTCCCTCTAGGATTTTCCAGGTGTATATAATCATGTATCTCTCTCCCGCCTGCATTCCAGGGAGTACAGGTTCAGGAACTTCAAGTGCTCCCAGTAATTGAGGCGTTTTTATCTCCGTTATGTGCGCTGTGAAGGTTCTCTGTACATTTTCTAGGTCAGCAATTTCACCTGCCTTGAAAGGTGCTGTTAGTGTGCAGCAATATTCCAGCCTAGATAGAACAAGCAACCTGAAGAGTGTCATCATGGACTTGGCATCCCTAGTTTTAAAGGTTCTCATTATCCATCCTGTCATTTTTCTAGCAGATGCGATTGATACAATGTTATGGTCCTTGAAAGTGAGATCCTCCGACATGATCACTCCCAGGTCTTTGACGTTGGTTTTTTGCTCTACTTTGTGGCTGGAATTTGTTTTGTACTCTGATGAAGTTTTAATTTCCTCATGTTTACCATATCGGAGTAATTGAAATTTTTCATCGTTGAACTTCATATTGTTTTCTGCAACCCATTGAAATATTTGGTTGATGTCCGCCTGGAGCCTTGTAGTGTCTGCAATGGAAGACACTTTCATGCAGATTCGGGTGTCATCTGCAAAGGAAGACACGGTGCTGTGGCTGACATCCTTGTCTATGTCAGATATGAGGATGAGAAACAAGATTGGAGCAAGCTTTTCACCGTAGCCTCCTCAGACTTTACTCTGTTGACTACTACTCTTAGTGTTCTGTTAGTGAGGAAATTATAGATTCATCTACCAACTTTTGCTGCTATTCCTTTAGCATGCATTTTATGCGCTATAGCACGCATTTTATGCGCTATTACGCCATGGTCACGCTTGTCAAAGGCTTTTGCAAAGTCTGAATATGTTACATCCGCATTCTTTTTGTCTTCTAGTACATCTAGGACCGTGTCGTAGTGATCCAGTAGTTGAGACAGACAGGAGCAACCTGCTCTAAACTCATGCTGCCCTGGGATGTGTAACTGATGGGTATCTAGATGGATGGCGATCTTGCTTCTTAGGACCCTTTCAAAGATTTTTATGATATGGGATGTTAGTGCTATTAGTCTGTAGTTCTTTGCTATTGCTTTACTGCCCCCTTTGTGGAGTGGGGCTATGTCTGTTGTTTTTAGTAACTGTGGGACGACCCCAGTATCCATACTCCCTCTCCATAGGATGGTAAAAGCACATGATAGGGGCTTCTTGCAGTTCTTGATGAACACAGAGTTCCATGAGTCTGGCCCTGGGGCAGAGTGCATGGCCATGTCATTTATCACCTGTTCAGAGTCACTTGGCATCAGGATAACATCAGATAGGCTTATGTTTACCAAATTCTGTGGCTCTCTCATAAAAAATTCATTTGGATCTTCGACTCTCAGTCTGGTTAGCAGCTTGCTAAAATCTGAGTCATATTGGGACTTGAATAGTTCACTCATTTCCTTGCTGTCATCTGTGTAGGACCCATCTTGTTTAAGTAGGGGCCCAGTACTGGATGTCGTTCTCAACTTTGATTTGGCATAAGAAAAGAAATACTTTGGGTTTCTTTCAATTTCATTTATGGCTTTTAGTTCTTCCCGCGATTCCTGACTCCTATAAGATTCCTTTAGCTTTAGTTCGATGTTTGCTATTTCTCTGAGTAGTGTCTCCTTATGCATTTCAGATATATTGGCCTCTTTTAGCTGCTCTGTTATTCTTTTCCGTCGCCTGTAAAGGGAGCGCCTGTCTGTTTCTATTTTACATCTACTCCTTTTTCTTGAAGGAATAAGCCTTGAGCATACATGGAGTGCCACAGAGGTAATCTGTTCTAGGCATAAGTTGGAGTCTGTGTTACTTAGTGTATCTTCCCAGCTTATATCATTTAGGACTTGGTTTACTTGGTCCCACTTTATGTTCTTGTTATTGAAGTTGAATTTGGTGAAGGCTCCCTTGTGACTGATCTCATTTTGTCGGTCTGGGGCTCCGCACATACATGTCTGAACCTTGATTATGTTGTCTCACACCTGTCCAACCCATTCCCATGCTCTTTCTACTAACATACCTCTAATACACCATTCTAACTTGGTTTCACATGTCTCCAGATCCTTTCTCCAACATGCATTCATGCTCCTTAAGGCATGCTCTCTTCTTCACTGTCAGCAATTGGAAGATAGAGGAGGACAGTAGGGAAATAATTCTTGCGTTTGTTTCTCTAGTAAGATATACTGGGATAGGGAATGTGCTATCAGGGACCAGGGATACCTTCATCAGCTGCACTGGCAACTTAATCATATCTGTGTAATTTATTATGATATGGTCATGGAGACAAATTGTTTTTTGGGACTTACTGAGCTGTTGGGGTGTGAGCAGGGTAATATTTTGTGAAGTGATTCAGGGGAACTGGTTAGCCAGACTTGAGTCCTGGACGTGGGAAGTACAATGCCTGCACTTTAAAGGAGGGGTTTGGGATATTTGCTGTTTGGAACGACATCTGAACTGTTGCATCTGAGCTCTTCTGCAAAGACTGATTGTGGGTGAATGATGGTGAAAATGTTTCTTTCTTTTTTGAGTGGGAGATGGCCAGCATGTTAAACATTTTTTTTAAGTTATGGTAATTACTACTTTATGATGATTTAATTATTTTTTCTTCTTTTTTTTTAGTTAGTTTCTTTGTGGTGGTTTTGTAGGTTAGATTAGATAGGAATTGCTGTTCAAATAACCAAGGGTAGATTAAATTAGGTTTGGTAAGATCTGTTGTATGACAAGCTGTGGCTACTAAGCTAGGATAGCTGCTAAGCAGGCCTAATGTTCACTGCATGTTTGTAATTAGGCCTTTCCATGACTGTTCCCTTTGATTTTGTTTATTAACTTTTTCACTGTCTGTCACCATGAACTACGTCATTAAGGTCTGTGTCATGAGCTCAGCTCACTCAGATGCTGTGAGGCTGTTAGTGGTAAATTTTAGCCTAGATATGAAAGAATGGGTTGGTGAGTGTGCCAGTATAAAAAAATTCCTACTTCATGCTGTGTGTGATGGGAAAAACAAAACTGTGAGGTGTGTATAATATAATAATAATATAATATCTTCATTTCTACAAGTACATATACAAGGTATACAGGCCTATCTGACATCAGTGACATACTACTACATATATAGAAAGCCACTTGTTATGCAGAACATTTCAGCAAATTAGGTCAGTTTTGTCCCAGGATGCGACCCACACCAGTTGACTAACTCCCATGTACCCATTTTACTGATGGGGAACATAGACATCTGGTGTAAAGAAACACTCTGGGAATCGAACCCAGACCCTTGCCATGTAAAGCAAGAGCTTTGGCCACCAGGCCACGATATAAAATGGTTTAAAATAGCGATGGTGTTATTGGCTGTTTTTTAGTATCATTCGATAGATTGGAAGAGATACTGCTGCAATAGAGATTTTTGTGATTGGTTTCAGGATTGGAAATAGCTTGAAATTGAGCTCAAAGTAGTGGAAATATTAAATTTTTGCCAATATTCCAGAGGACAGGTAAGGCCACTCTACAACCTCCAGTCTATTTTATGGGTTTTTAATAGGTTTGATTCAATTATTGGGATGCTGTAAACCATGACTAATCCTTTCTGGTTATACTTTATTATATGAGAAATAGAGTAAATCTTCTGTTTTTGTTTGAATAAAAATTCAAAATGGAAGGCAAGTGTAATATAGGAGAAGTCTGGGGACGTGACTAATGAACAGATTAAATGTTGTTTTAGTGACAGGAATGTTTACATTGTTTAGTATGGACTCTATTTACAAATAAGTATTTCTTAATTTTGTATAAAATTGGCCATATTACCGACTTCTGTGCTCAGTCAATAGAACAGAAAGCATACTAGCAAAATAGCTAAGGATTTAGTCAAATGGAACAATGGAATTGGCTTTTAATAGGACTCAAAGTGGACAATTACTGATGCATAAATTGCGCCTAGACCGCTAACTTTACGCCTGTGATTCCATAAATTTTCTGTCAAAGTTTGTACTTTAGGTGTTATTACCTTCAGAAAATGATTCTCTACCACTTCAGAAGAAAAAATATATTTTTTTAAAAAGTGGACACAGAGCAATATTAATTTTGGGGGTCTGGACAGTGAAAGCATTAATGTATATATATATATTTTATGGCATCACTGTATGTCTTGTGTTATTTAGCCTGGTCATTATGGCTAAGTTGTTGTTCTTCATTTCTACCAACACTTTCATGATCACTCACTCCATCACTGTTACCAGAGGCATGCCAATACTACAGTTCAAAACTGCAAATATCCACACCGCTCCTTCAGAGTGCAGGCACTGTACTTCCCACCCCTAGGACTTAGGTCTGGCTAACTGGTTTCCCTGACTCCCTCCATAAATGTTACTTGCTCATTAAGCCATAAAAATTATTTGTCCCCATGCAACCCACACAAGCCTGCTGGAGGCTCAGGCCCCTAGGACTCAAGAACTCCTTTACTCCCTCCCTCCAACCTTTCCTGGAATGATTTCTACCCCTCCTTCCTTCTGCCCTAGATTTGTACACCCTCTTGGTCATCCTTTACTGCTCCATCCTCTCTAAATGCTCAGATCATATCAGCAACCCCTCCTCAGCCCTTGGCATTATAAGAACATAAGAATGGAGGAACACTGCAGAAGGCCTACTGGCCCATGTGAGGCAGGTCCTTATCAAAACGACCTCTACCCAAAGCTACCCAAGAATTAACTCCCGTACCCAATGACACCAATCAAACCCAGCCCCTCCCACTCATATATTTGTCCAGTCTCTTCTTAAAGCTACCCAAGGTCCTAGCCTCTACCACCCCACTGGGAAGACTGTTCCACACATCTACAACTCTGTTAGAAAACCAGTACTTACCTATGTCCTTTCTAAATCTAAATTTATCCAACTTAAATCCATTATTTCTGGTTCTTACCTGGTTCGACACCTTCAGTACTTTATTAATATCTCCCTTGTTTATGCCCGTCATCCACTTATACACTTCAATGATATCTCCCCTCATTCTACGCCTCTCCAGAGAGTGGAGATTTAAGGCTTTAAGTCTATCTTCATACGGGAGGTTCCTTACACAGTAAATCATTTTAGTCATTCTTCTCTTTATGCTCTCTAATGAGTCTATATCCATCCTGTAGTAAGGGGACCAAAACTGAGCAGCATAATCTAAATGAGGCCTCACTAGTGATGTATTTATCCATGTATTTATCCAACCTATATTTGAAACTACCCATAGTTCTAGCCTCAATAACCCAACTAGGTAGACTGTTCCACTCATCAACTACCCTATTTCCAAACCAATACTTTCCTGCATCCCTTCTAAATCTAAACTTGTCCAATTTGAATCCATTACTGCGGATTCTCTCCTGGAGAGATATCCTCAAGACCTTGCTAATTTCCTCCTTATTAATACCCATCTTCCACTTATACACTTCGATCATGTCTCCCCTCATTCTTCGTCTAACAAGTGAATGTAATTTAAGTGTCTTCAATCTTTCTTCATAAGGAAGATTTTTAATGCTATGTATTAATTTAGTCATTCTACGCTGAATGTTTTCTAACAAATTTATGTCCATTCTGTAATATGGAGACCAGAACTGAGCTGCATAATCTAGGTGAGGCCTTACTAATGATGTATAAAGCTGCAGTATAACCTCTGGACTTCTGTTGCTTACACTTCTTGATATGGTATAAACCTTGGTAATAAATACCGACAAGTTGGTTTAGAAAGACACGTAAGCAAACACTATAACATATTTATCAGAAAACGTTTCGGTCCTGGGACCTTGATCACTTCTAACATACAGAGGTAGAAAGACGTGTCTTTCTAAACCAACTTCATGATATAAATCTCAATAATCTATTTGCCTTATTACACACGCTTAGGCACTGCTGTCTTGGTTTAATTAAGGTTGCTGCTTATCATAACCCCCAAATCTTTCTCGCATTCTATACGGCTAAGTTCAACATTATTAAGCTGGTAGGTGCTAGGGTTATGGAAATAAATGGTATAAAATACTGACACAATGGAAATATAAACACATATGCAGTATAATGTGATCCTTTATTGACTACGTTTCGCCCACACAGTGGGCTTTTTCAAGTCTTCTAATTTCTACACTCCATATTCTTTGCATGATATTCATGAAGTGATAACATGATTAACCAATAAAATTTTCCATGGGTTGTGATACATGTGCCTTCAAATGTATGTTTAAGTGTGTTTTTTAAATTATAGTTGTATCTTTTTATAGTTACAATTGTAGTAGAGCTATGATTGTTGTACAGTATTCCTTTTAATGCTCTGTGCAAATAGTTGCGGCGAACACAACTTCCTCTGAGCTCATTAGTAAAATATGTAATCATCATCATCTCCTCACTTCCTACTTCCTGTCTTTATTACTATTGGTTCTATATATTAATCCTTTTTTCTTACCTTGGAAATTCATTATATTCCATAAGTTTGAGCTCTGTAATTTCAGATTAGTATTTGTTGTGTTATTTTGCATTTCCATTTTTATAATACACTATTGCACGCTATTTAAAAATGGTCTTAGATCATCATACTGTATTTTCCTTTGATATAATCAGTTACATAGTCAGTTTTATTTGTTTTTTCTTTTTCCTCCCTGGAGTCATAATTTGCAATTTACTATACATTATTTCCAGTAGGACATACCCACTTTCATCATGTTTATTATTTCATATTTTCTAGTAAATAATAGGTCAAGCAGAGATGGTATGGTACTGCCTCTGCTGGTCACTTCTTTATTGTATTCAGATGTAAACAAAGGTTTCAGTTACATTTGTTAAATGGTAGGTTGCATACATTTGAAATTATGAGCTTTTGTCTTTGTTTTTTATTTATATAGCAAAAATTTTAATATTATTTGTGTTTTGGACCTTAGTTTCTGTAGCTTTCAGTGTTTATTTTTTTTCAAGTGTTTACCTTATCTTCCTTTTTTTTCTGTTTTATCCCTTTCTCTTATGGATTAGTTTCCCTCAAATACTATGTCACTTACAATGTTTAACTAGTTTCAGTTTGAACTTTTTTTTATAAATTTATTTTTATCTTCTTTTCTTGTGTCCATTTGTTTTTGGTCTGTTTCTCTCTGTACCTTGTTCAGTGAACCAACTGATGGGTGGGATTAGGGTTATTATTCTGCAAGAAAAGCTGCCCTTTTCTTCATCATTTATTGTTTTACCTAAACAACCATCTCTGGAGATGCTGACCTGAAGAAGAAAACATATTCACTTCTTGCCAGAAGTGCGGCCACATCACAGTTCAGATGACTCTCCAACCACAACATCTCCACTCCTTCTCCAGAGTGCAGGCACTTTCCTCCCCACCTCTAGAACTCAGGTCTAGCAAATAATTTTTGCATAATAATTGTTATAATTTCTGTATGTATGTACTCTATTATTTATTTTGGTTCTCTTCGACTTCAGTAAGTTTTAGCAATTTGATATGGTCTTTCAGTCTTCCTTTTCTTTTTTTTTTTTTTTAGTGTATCACTGATTGTTTTGTATCTTTTAGTATTATGAAACTTCAAGCTGTATTGTTTTTTATGTCATTATTTATGATTGTAATACCTTTCAAGTGTTGTGATAAATTTCTTGCAATACATTAACTATTTGCAAAGAAAAGTTGTTAATTTTTCTTATGAAAGTAGGTTGTTACATGTTGATTTTTTTTTCAATGAATAAAAAATTTATTTTTCTGCAATTTTATTTGTTAATTGTTTGGGTCTTGTGATAACTTGTGTGATTACTGTGCATCCCAGAGGTAAAATTCTTTTGTTTCATGAGCTTTGACTCATAATTGTGACAATAATAGTAACAAAAGATTCCAGCAGCACCAATATTAAGAAATATTATCCTTAAAGTTGTTATAAAGTATAATTTTTTATTGTTTGCAGAACATTCAGCTTCTAAATTCTGCATATATGGTCTAGCCAGATTGCTCTTGTTGCATTATATAAGTTTTATAATTAATGTTTCATTGAATTGTAAGTGCGTTTTCTAGTAAAGGATGCCAACGGAATCAGTATTAATTATTGTGTGAACAATATAAATACAAAATTCTGCACAGTATCAAATTTAAAGCATTGTTTTTTATCACCTGTTTGCAAAGGATCTTAGTTGTTAGTGAATCTGCATGTGAGATGTATCATGTATTTAGTGTGTGCCAGAAAACAAGTTTGGTTATGTAGGTATCTTTAAAACCACTCAGTCAAGTTGAATAAGTTTGATAAAAGACAAGAGCAAAATCTAGAATCTGGAGCTAATTAATTGATTTTTAGCACATTTAACCTGCTTAGTTATGTAATTTGCAAATATTAAAGGTGCTTTTCAAATTCAAAGATGCACCAAAGTCTACATTTATTGAAAATGTTTACCATTTTATATACTAATATGTATTGTAACAGAGTAGACAAGTTTTCTGTAAAACGAAGTTACTCTGTGGGTAATAGGTTAAAAATAAATTTGGGCATTGTGAATACACAGTAGTTTGAGCATTAGTACAATCTATAAGTTTAGAATAGTATGCAGGTTTATCTAATTATTTATGATTTTTTTAAATTGTAACTAAATAATTGAATGTGAGCAGTGATTAATATTGTATCTATAAGCATTAATATCAAAGACTGTAGAGTACTTTAATATTATGACTGACTGTTTGTATTCATATAAAGAATTGAGTGATGCAGGGAGTGTAATGTGAATACAGTAATTGTTTTCTCAACTGATTTTTGTGATGTTTAAATTGCACATGTATTAAATGAATAAATATGTTTTATATCAGAATTTTTAATTACCAATATAGTGTACAGTGGAACCTCGGTTTTCATCTTTAATTCGTTCCAGAGAGTCTGACGAAAACCGAATTTGACGAAAACTGAAGCAATATTTCCCATAAGAAATAATTAAATCCAATTATTCCATTCCAGACACCCAAAAATATTAAAAAAAAATACATTTTATAGAAAATATTAACAAAATATTTTATAGAGGGGTAGGGGTCGTCCTCGAAAGGGTTGGAAAGAGGGGGTAAAGGAGGTTTTGTGGGCTAGGGACTTGGACTTCCAGCAAGCGTGCATGAGCGTGTTAGATAGGAGTGAATGGAGGCGAATGATACTTGGGACCTGACGATCTGTTGGAGTGTGAGCAGGGTAATATTTAGTGAAGGGATCCAGGGAAACCGGTTATTTTCATATAGTCGGACTTGAGTCCTGGAAATGGGAAGTACAATGCCTGCACTTTAAAGGAGGAGTTTGGGATATTGGCAGTTTGGAGGGATATGTTGTGTATCTTTATACGTATATGCTTCTAAACTGTTGTATTCTGAGCACCTCTGCAAAAACAGTGATAATGTGTGAGTGTGGTGAAAGTGTTGAATGATGATGAAAGTATTTTCTTTTTGGGGATTTTCTTTCTTTTTTGGGTCACCTTGCCTCGGTGGGAGACGACCAACTTGTTGAAAAAAAAAAAATTAAAAAAAAATACATTTTACAGAAAAAATGAGAAATAATTATAGAGCACTAATGAATAAATGGATAAATGAACATTTATATCACTTTTACCTTTTCTGAAGAATCTTGTTGGCGTATGGAAGACGGCGAGGAGAGGAGAGGGAGGAGAGTTTATCTCTACCACCATCACTACCACCCTATACCACCCTATACCACTATCGCTACCACCCTCCACCACTACCCTCTACCACCATCACTACCAAACTCTACCACCATCACTGCCACCCTCTACCACAATCACTACCACCCTCTACCACCATTGAGTTCTATTGTGTTTCTTGCCTTCTTTATCAAAGGGCTGGCACTCGGAACTTTCTATGGCCCCATGGTGGTTTATTTAGCAGTCGCACTGAATAAACAAGCACAAAAATCAATGGGTTATTACGAAATGTTTCGTAAGAATGCGCAAGGTAATGTTCACTCGACGAGAAACAAAGCCAGACTGGCTTAGAATGCGTGCGTGGGATACTTTGTGTGGGCGCGGGCAGACGGACATGTTCGATATGGCAGATGAAAACTGAGGTGATGAAAGAAAACTGGGACTATTTTGACGAAAAAAGTCGTCGAAAACTGAATTCGACGAAAACCAAGGCAAACAAAAACCGAGGTTCCACTGTACAATATTTATCCTGTGCCTTATTGAGAAAGGCAATGTTGTTACTGCATTTAAATATGAATGACCCATACAGATTTAGGACTTTTGTAAAGACAACTACAGTGGTACCCCAAGTTTTGGCCATAATTCGTTCCAGAAGGCTGTTCGAGTGCCATTATCGAACAAATTTGTTCCCATAAGGAATTATGTAAATTAGATTAGTCCGTTTCAGACCCCCAAAAATACACTTATAAAAGCACTTACAATGATACACTTACATAACTGTTCGAGTTGGGAGCTGTACGAAACTCAGGGTACCACTGCAGAAGGAAAGTCAGTGGATAAGATGGAGTACGAAGCTGGAAAGTGCTGAGAGGCAGAACAGAACTTAATACCCAAAAGGCAAATAGGAAATAGCAAAGACAGAAAGCCCTTGGTTTAACCAGAGATGCAGAGAGGCAAAAAAGAGAAGCATAAGAGTATGGAAAAATTATAGGAAGCAAAGGAGAGATGAAAACAGAGAAGAGAGCAGATTAGCCAGAAATGAATATGTATGGGTGAGGAGAGAGACTGAGAGACAATTCGAGAATGACATAGCAGCTAAGGCCAAGTCTGAACCAAAACTGCTTTGCAACCACGTCAGAAGAAAGACAACAGTAAAAGACCAGGCAGTTTCACTCAAGGAGGAAGAAAGAAAGTTTCCAGGAAATGACGAGTAACTCTGTGAAGTGCTGAGCACATAATTCAAAAAGGTTTTCTCAGTAGAAACTAGGGTAATGCCAGAAAGCCTAGGGGAAAAGAGCACACCAACAGGTACTAGATACTGTACACAATATGGGAAGAGGTAAAAATTTTTTGATGGAGCTGGATATATCAGAGGCAGTTTGACCTGACAAGGTGTCACCAGGGATTCTGTGAGAGGGATCAGAAGCATTTTCCAAACCACTATGGTTTAGCGCTTCTTTTTTATTATAATAATAATAATAATAATCCAAACCACTAGCTAAGATCTTTAAGTCAATCATCATTGGATGGTGCCCAAGATCTGAAAGACAGCAAATGTAATACCTATATCTTAGAAAGGAGACAGGAAGCACTGAAGTACAGGCCAGTTTCACTGACATGCATACCTAACAAGGAAATGGACACAGTCAGAAGGGGAGTAGTAGAAAGCCTGGAGAGAAGTGATTTGCACTTCCTGTTGGAATTCTATGATAACAGAAGTGCGACAGGAGAAAGAAAGCTAGGTGGATTGTATTTTGTTAGAGTGCAAGAAGGCATTTGTTACAATATCTACATGAGACCCCCCTCATGGGAGGTTCCTTAACATTGTTGAGGGGCTCTTGATCTAGGGAATTGGATCTGTGCTCTGGTTCCCTGAATTTAGCCTGAATACATTCCATCCCCCACCCCACATGCGCTGTATAATCCTATGGGTTTAGCTCTCCCCCATGATTATAATTATAAAAATCTGCATGAGACTGGGTAAAAACTTAAGGGACATGCAGAATAACAGGAAATGTACTCCAGAGGATCAGAGTGTTCCTCAGAAGAAGGAAGTAAAAAGTGACTGTCAAGGAAGAGACATCAGAATAGGGAAGCATAATCAGTGGTGTTGCAAGAATCAGTATTAGGGGAAGTACTGTTTCTGGTTTATATTAATGATATCCCTGATGAGACTCAGATACATTTCTGTTTGCTGATGATATAACTCTGATGAGAAGAATGAAAACAAAGGACATGGAAAGGCTGCAAATGAATCTGGAAAAACTACAAGATTGGTCAGAGAAGTGATTGCTTGAATTAAACCCCAGCAATTGTAAGGTCATGACAGCACTGTATGATCATTATTGGTTTAGTGCTTGGTTATAATTATAATAATAATAATAATGCAAGGTCATGAAATTGAAAGCGCAGAAGTACACAACAAAGTTAGTCCTGAGTTTAGGACCATGAGCTATGAGGAGAGGCTAATAGAACTGAATCTAATGATATTGGAGGCAAGAAGAACCAGAGGTAGATATGATGATAACATATAAAATACTTAGGGGGACTGATAGGAAACAGGAAGAGGCTGTTTGAGAGGCAAGAAATGGGAATTCTGGGACACAGCAGGAAGTTGAAGACACAGATGAGCCATAGAAATGTCAAAAAGTATTTCTTCAGTCTCAGGGTAGTTGGAAAGTGGAGTGTTACCAGTGAAGAAGGGAGGAAGTCATACATAGCTTTAAAAGCAGGTATGATAAGGCCCATGAGGCTAGAAGGAAGAGAATCAGGCAAGAGGCAAGTTGATAAGTAGGGCCCTGGAGTTAAAATTCGGCCCCTACAGCCACATATAGGCAAGTACGTACACACACACACACACACACACACACACACACACACACACACACAAGAAGGTGGAGAACTCACAAGAAACGATCAAGAGGTATGTGAGGAGCTCAACACGAGATTTAAGGAAGTATTTACAGTAGAGACAGGAAGGACTCTGGGGGGACAGACCAGATGGGGACACCAACAAGGAATACACCAACAAGTGTTGGACGACATACATACAGATGAGGAGGAGGTGAAGAAACTGCTAAGGGACATCGATACCTCAAAGGCAATGGGACTGGACAACATCTCTCCATGGGTCCTTAGAGAGGGAGCAGATATGTTGTGCGTACCACTTACCACAATCTTCAACACATCCCTGGAAACTGGGCAACTACCTGAGGTATGGAAGACGGCAAATGTAGTTCCCATTTCAAAAAAGGAGACAGAAAAGAGGCACTAAACTATAGACCTGTGTCATTGACGTGTATAGTATGCAAAATTATGGAGAAGATTATCAGGAGGAGAGTGGTGGAGCACCTGGAACGGAACAGGAGTATAAATGCCAACCAGCACGGATTCACGGAAGGCAAATCCTGTGTCACAAACCTTCTGGAGTTTTATGATAAAATAACAGAAGTAAGACAAGAGAGAGAGGGGTGGGTTGATTGCATCTTCTTGGACTGCAAGAAGGCTTTTGACACAGTTCCTCACAAGAGATTAGTGCAGAAGCTAGAGCATCAGGCGCATATAACAGGAAGGGCACTGCAATGGATCAGAGAATACCTGACAGGGAGGCAACAACGAGTCATGGTACGTAATGATGTATCACAGTGGGCACCTGTGACGAGCGGGATCCCACAGGGGTCGGTCCTAGGACCAGTGCTATTTTTGGTATATGTGAACGACATGACGGAAGGGTCAGACTCAGAAGTGTCCCTGTTTGCAGATGATGTGAAGTTAATGAGGAGAATTAAATCTGATGAGGACCAGGCAGGACTTCAAAGAGACCTGGACAGACTGGACACCTGGTCCAGCAAATGGCTTCTCGAATTTAATCCTGCCAAATGCAAAGTCATGAAGATAGGGGAAGGGCACAGAAGACCACAGACAGAGTATAGGCTAGGTGGCCAAAGACTGCAAACCTCACTCAAGGAGAAAGATCTTGGGGTGAGTATAACACCGAGCATGTCTCCGGAAGCACACATCAATCAGATAACTGCTGCAGCATATGGGCGCCTGGCAAACCTGAGAACAGCATTCCGACACCTTAGTAAGGAATCATTCAAGACACTGTACACCGTGTATGTCAGGCCCATACTGGAGTATGCAGCACCTGTTTGGAACCCGCACTTGAT